GTAAGAGATTTGTTTGCTTTTTGTTATAAAGAATTATTTTTGTAACATCTTAAATTTAATTTCCATAAATAAGAAATTTCACAAATTTTTGAGATAATAAAATTTTCATTTTTAATTCAAGTTTCATTAACCATTTTAAATAAAGGAAGAGATTACAAATTATATCAAACAGTTGCTATAAGATTTATTCAAATACAATAGTTTTCCAAAATAATATCATAAGTCCTATAGCAGTTCCATCCACCTCTTCACTGAGTCCGGTGCTGATCGTCTTGGTTACCTGAAAAATAAATGTAAGGGTGAGTACTCTACACTACTCAGAACACACAATAAACGTAGAGTCTCACTCCAGAACATTCCAATACATTAAACAAACACAATCACAAGCAGCATTTCACATCCACAAGTACAAAACACAAATCCATGCACACGCATACCAGCCACATTCACTATAGTACTGTGATCACAAATTTACACCATGAATGGTCGCCGGTTACCCCCGCCTCACGAATACCATGTGGACAATCACGGGTTGCTCAGCAAAGATAGCGGTCGGAGGTCTAGTCAGGAAGAGAGTGTGTGACCCGTGGTGTACCCGTTCTACAGTCGGTGTGACTACCACTCCGTCTTTCCCAAGGTATTTCTATCGTCCTTATTTTTCACATTACAAGTGTATCGCTAAACCATTCATAGCACATTACAGTGGCGCTACTACGCCCCAGTTACACACATTTCAATATACAGCACATAGCCCACATTTAACAGTACACGGCACTAGACCCACATTTCATTTTCACAGCACACACAGCTCCTAGCCTATTCTCATTCATATTACACGGCCCTCAGGCCCACATTTTCACAATGTTCATTCAGATATATACACATGTATAAACGGCACAAGTGCCCACATCACATATCTCAGCAATTTCCTACCCTTTACTTAGCCACATCACAATATCACACAAAATATCAGCAAATCACACATAAAGGAGTAGGGTAGAGTCCCTCATTACCTTGGATTGAAGACCCACGTCCGAACTTAACTACGAAAATGCTCTCCACACAACTTTCGGCCTAAACACATGGAAGAATTTCATGAGAACCCCAAAAATCAGCAAGAACAGAGAAAGGGAAGGAAAATGAAAACTCTGTTCGTTTAAAACTCACCTCCAAGCATTCCTCACACAAATTCGAGCTCCAATCTCGCTTCCGAACGACTTTGGAGACAATTAATTAGTGGAATAGGACTTTGGAAACGAGAGGATCAAATGAATTTCGAAGGGAGAGGGAGAAATAACTCTCCCTGAACCCTAACTCCCTTTAAATCCTTTTCTGGTCGCAACACTCTCGCTACAGCAAGATATTCTCGCTGCAACGACATGCCCTCTCGTTATAGCGAAAAAAATTAGAGAAAACTGCACTCTGATTTCTGTAGAATCTCACTACAGCGAGACTGCACTCAGAAATACACCCTAAATTGTTGCTCTCTCGCTACATCGAGACGTCTCTCGCTACAGCGAGAAGGCGACAGTTCTGGTCTTTCCTCCCAGGGCCCTCTCGCTGCAGCGAGAACAGCCCAGTATCTCGCCCTGTATTTAGGCACTTAGCCCATTTTCAGTCTATTCAGTTATACATACACATATATATATATACATACATATTCACAACATATATCTAAAAATACACACATGAATATACATTTAGATTTATATAATTATCAATAAAAAATATTACCGAAATTCAGGGCGTTACAATTTTTCTATTGTTGCATTTTTAGAGAACTTCTCACAAATTAAATGTTTCTTCCATTAGCCTATTCATGAACTTTAGAGCTATTGAATTGTAATTGAAAGTGCTTTTTTATTAGAGCATGCAAAAATTGTTAAGTGTTATAGTAGTTGACTAATTTAAAGGTAGACGATAGATACATTAGAAATTAAATAATAAAAAAATGTTCATCTTGCTAATAACATGATAAATATAATCCAAATATAGTGTTGAGTAATAGGTGTCACCTTTAAAATCAAGCTCTTAAAATCAAGTGCTTTTTGATCTTCACAATATAGGAGCTTATTCATACAAAAATAGGCTCTTAGCGTCGAAAGGATTAAATCTTCTTCTTAAACATGATAAAACAATTTCTTTTGTGATGGACAACCTAAATATTTTTAATGATATAGATAATCATGTTTCTTTGTATCGTGAACTTGAAATTTTCTTAGAAGATTATGAATCTTGGTTCTTTTCATGAAAATCTACACTGATAGTTAAACTTTTGAGGAGAATGTTGGTATAAAATGTATGGAACAAAGGGGGGGGGGAGTAGAGGGAGGGGATGGGAATGGAGAGGTGAAAGTTTTAGATCTTAATAATAATTTTTTATTCAAATTTTGAACATAGATGATTACATGTATGAAGGGAATTTATTAATATTAGATCATTATTTTTTTGTTCAAATATGAAGACCTCTTTTTATGCCTAAGAACCAATCATTTAGGAAAATTGTTGTTTGGATTAGAATTATAGATCTACCCATTGAACTATATAATGAAATTTTTTTATGGCAAATTGGATAAGTATTAGGGACCATGCTTAAAATTGAATTTAATACTACTATTCAATTCAAGTGTAGGTTTATTAGAGTTTGCGTTGAACTTGACTTTAAGAGAAAATTCATTCCTTTTTTTAGAATATTGAGTCAAAATTTTAACATTGAATATGAAGGATTGTATTTAATATGTTTTTCTTGTAGAATGTATAATCATAAGATCGAGAATTCTGAAATTCTTAAACTAGACAAAACAAAATAAGAAGCTAGATTGAAAAAAATAAAATTAAGGATGCATAAATCTTTAAAGAGTTTATATTTGACCACTAAAAAAGAATGTGGATAAGTCACATTCTAGTGCTACAAAGGATCAATTTGGTTTTGATTTTTGGATTTTTTTGACCTAAAAAAAAATTGGTCAACCTAAGATACAAAATATGACTAACAATGACGCCAATAGTAATGGGAAGGACTCTAAGTCTAGATTTAATGTCTTACATAACTCCAAAGTTAAGGAAGAGAATGACAAAAAAAAATCTCTTATAAAAAAAGCTATTAATTAATTTGATCACAAGTCTATCTCATCTAAGACTAATTAAGATCATCTTGTTAAGCCAATTAATAAAATCTAGCCACAAAATAAAAAATCTATAGTATAACAAAATTTGAGAAAAAGTAAACTATTTAGGTATATGCTAATTCTATATCTCTTAAAGATACTTTTTAATCTAAGTCTATTATGAATATCTTTACTCCTTTGCTATGTCTATTTCTGATGAAAATAAAATATTTGAGAGAGATATTTATGTTGCTTATAAGTATATTTCAATATGATTTGTTACAGAGGTTCCATGGTAGATATTCTAGGTTTAGGAATTAGGTAGAATTAGAACTATCTCCTTTTTGAAGAACAACCCCAACTAATAAACATCTAGACACTAATCAACAGATGATAAAGAGAGTAATAGTTTAAATAGTAATCAAATGACTATAGACCAAAATGATGTTAAAAATTTACTTTGCACAACATCTGAGTAGATTGATTTAACAAATACAAATTAATGAATTTTATATTTTACAATTGTAGAGGGATGAGAAGTAATAGTTTTTTCATATTGGTAAATGATATAATAATTTTAAATAAATTGAATTTTATTGCTATTTTAGAAACTTGAGTTAATAAAGAAAGACTGATAAGATCGTTAAGGAGAAATGAAATATGGTTATTATATATTATTTTTGCTAGCTCTCAAGATTATTTTAAAACCAGTGATGGAAGGAATTAGTATCAATAAGTCAAAACTTAAATATCCTTTGATGGAAAGTTTAATTCTATTTTGTTTGCAAAAGAGAAAGTAGGTGGGGAAAGGGAGTCTTATTAATCATAATAACCTTAATAGATTTGCTTCTTATCTAAATAAGTGTGATTTTTTTAATCTAAAATTTAAAGGTAGCTCTTTCACGTAACAACGAGATTCTCTTAACAAAAGATTGAATAGAACAGTTGTTAATAACATATAGAAAAATAAAATTTTTAATAGTTTTCTTATTAATATTATTATTCTTAAATTAAATCATGTTATCTTATGAATAAAAGTAAATTCTTATGTTGTAATTTTACTATTTAAATTAAAAATTCTTGAATAAGAAATAGTTCATGGAATGAAATATCAATAAATTTAGGAAGAATATATTTGACTAGAATAAACATACTTTTAGGAATATTTTTAATTGAAAAAGATATATTTTTAATAGAATTAATGATATTATTCAGGCATTATGAAATGTGAATAACACCTATCTTTCTAATCTCTTGAAAAATCTTTGGTTAGAATATAAAAATAATATTGATAAGAAAGAAGTTTATAATTTTATTAATAAAAATCTAGTCGATTAAAATTAGGTAATAAAAATACTAGTTATTTTTTTATAGAACATTGTTTCCTATTTTAAGAAATACTAATCCTGGAATTTGATACTGATGGAATTAATAATATTATTTCTCTAGAGGAAGTGAAAGCTGCTTTACTGCATGCTATATTCTTTTAGTATTAATGAGATCTTTTAAATTTTTTTATTTTTAAATTTGTTAATGAAGTTTTTAATAATTTACATGAAATTAAAACTATTAATAAAATATAAAAAATTAGATAATATTTATAAATTAAAAACAAGTATTTATAAAAATATAAAATAATATAAAATCAAATTATAATTTTAATCTTTAAAATTTAATATAACAATAAAAAAATAGAAATAAAAAAATCATTACAACAAACAAGAATAATTTATTTTATTTTTAATTATAAAAACTATTAAGAAAAGTTGATACTTTACTTTTTAAATAATATATTTTTATTTATAATATACGAAAATCATAAGTTCGTATTTTGCAGGTCCCAACTCCTATTAAAAAGTAAATAACTGAAACCCTTACAGAAACCCAAATAATATTTAACATCACAAATTCACAGGACATGAACTCAAACCGTTACGGCGTTACCTTACCTTTCTGAGTTTTGACCCACACAACAACACTCGAATCCCCTCTTCTCTTGTGCTTGTTGTAGCCGTCTCGTGACCATCAATGACGGAAGCCGACAAATCTCCATCACTGGCAGAGGTTCTTTTCCTTTCCATTTCTGTTTCCACCGATTCAAGCTTTGTTCACTTAATCCACAATCTGGAACTAGTTTGAGCTACGTCTTTATTTGTTTCCGTTTTTAAAGTGCCTTCTAGTGTGTCATGAAAAATTAAAAATTAAGTTTATGTAATCCATAACATTTTTTCAGTCTGATATGTCTACCAAAATTGTGACCCAGATCTATATCATTGGCGCAAAGTTAAGTCTCTATATTGGTCAAATAGCCTTGTTCTAGGGATGGGTGCGGTGTTATTTGGGTGTTTTGGTTTAGGTTTTGGTAGAATCATTGTTGAAGAATTGAGATTATAAAATTTGATTTGTGTGTGAGAATATTTCAGAAATGATAATAGAATAATTTATTTTATTTGAATGATAATGTAAAATTCAATTTTGAACTTTAAAAATCAGTTCCTGTCAACAGAAAAGCTAAAGATTTCCGATTCTTCCAAAATCAATTCTACCCAGTGCAGAATGATTTTGGGGAAAGAAGAAAAAGCCAAACACAAGTAGATACTGTCGGAATGAATTCTGGCTGCTGCAATCAGGATTTTCAGTCACCCAAACTAGCTAGTTATCTTTCATTCCACTGTACTTCACTATATTGTTTGTTTATGACTTAACTATGATAATGACAAAAGGAGACAGTGTGACATTGGAAAATTTGCAAGCTCTACTCAATCTTATAAATTTAGTCCTTTAGTATATGACTAAGTAATGAAGTTGCCAATGTTATTTATTGTGAATAATATATCATTTCTGTGAACTCCTTGTCATGGGTATTGGAAGCCCTGATAGGTAGAATTGCTGAGTTATGATGTGTTGCTAGCTTCTGTTTTTCTAGTTAGGAAGTGATGACCTTTCCTCAATTTCCTCATAGACTGTTTGACATCCCAAATTTCCATTCTTTAAACACTTTGATGATTGATCTTCTTGACTTGCAGCAATATTTTGTGAACGACAAGCAAGAGAAAACAGATGTAGTTGAAAAATCTGTTGAAGTCAAAGAAGTTGAAAACCCAAAGGAGGCTGCTTCTGGGGAAACTGTCATTGAGAAAACTGTGGAAGAAACAACTCCTGTTGCCCCTGCAGTTGTTCAGGAAAGCAGTGAAGTCACCCCTCCTGCTGAAGAAAGCAATGAAGTGCAAAGTAGTGGAAATGTTGAAGAAGAAAACTCTGGGAATCAAGATGCAGCTGAAGTGACCCCTGAAATTAAGGTGACATTTATATAGCTGAATCACCCTTCTAGATTTGGTACTTGAGTAAGCAAAGTTGATGCTCCTTCTGTCAATATTTTCATATTTGTGCTATTGTTTTACAGCTTGAGACTGCTCCAGCAGATTTCCGTTTTCCAACTACAAATCAAACTAGGCATTGCTTTACCCGATACATTGAATATCATCGGTGAGTCATATTCTGTTGGCTTTTATTCTACTGAGCTTGTTGTTCATACCCACTATTCCTTTATTTTAAGCTTTGAAACTCTTGTGCAGATGTGTAGCTGCAAAGGGAGAAGGTGCACCAGAATGTGACAAGTTTGCTAAATATTATCGTTCACTTTGCCCTGGTGAATGGGTATGTATTATTCAATGTTAAACGTTACTGATTATCTGCTAAGCTCTAGGATATGTCTCCAATAAGATTTATTTACTAAAATTTCTTCTTGCTAATTCGAATTTACATCCGTTTATGGTCTTATTGGATTTTTTTTTTGAATTGGAAATGGAGTTGCATGTTTTACTAGTAATATTAATTCTTGAAAGAAAATTGCATCTTGTATGCTACAGTTTTTAGCTTTTCTTTTCTTCTATCCACTTCTTGACTTCATGCCAAGTCAGAAAAGTATTGAAATGTAGAAAATGATATATATGAAAAATGACGATAAAATAACAACTGTTGTTAATAAATGTCTAAAGCTGCTTTATGGAGAGGAAGTTCTTCTTTTCTTTTTGGATATGGAGGGAGTTCTTAAATTGTCGTGAATGTTCCTGTATATTGATAGATGCATGATGCTTTGGACCCTCATATTTATAACATCTAAATGTTATATTAATTTCTTTTAGCTCATTCATCTCTTTATCATCTTTAACTTTTTATTATTCCTTCATCTTTCAACACCTGTGTCTTCTTAACCACTTGGATTTGGTTTATAAGATCTTTGAGGTGTTTAATATTCCTTATCAGATAACCCATGCATACCTGATTAAGCAGTTCAATATGAAGATCTTTACTGAAATGATTGGAACCATTTTTTGTTGCATACAATAATTAATGACTTGTTAAGTGTTAAGAAGAGAATAAACTCAATATGGCATAGATGAGAATGTAGCAATGGATGAGTGACTGAGTTGAGGTAGCAGCTATTGTAGAAAAAATGATAAAATCCTTAGGTGGTAGAAGCCCCATAAAGGAGAGTAGATATTCATATTAAAACATTATGGTATCATTTTATCCGTGTAGCTGACCTTGCCTAAGGATAAAAAGCTTGGCTGTGATTGATAAAGGTTTAAACGCGTATTTGGAGAAGATTAATATCTGATATAATTCACTGAAGTAGTTAGTTGTGGTCAGGGCTAGTGTGTACATTGCTTAAATTGAATTTCATCATCCTATATGTTTGAGGACCAACCTTAAGTTTTGTATTTGGAATTCAACATTATGTGTAATGTTTAGTATTTACTGTATCTCCTATTATTTGAAATAGATACTTGAATACAGAGATAATACATTTTACAAAAACAAATCTGTTTTTAGGGTTTCTTTTTCTGCTGCTACCAATCTTGAAATTGAGCTTCTGTGCTATCAGTCTGTTTTCATTATTTTGTCTATGCAACAGATTGACAGATGGAATGAGCAGAGGGAGAATGGAACATTCCCTGGCCCGCTGTAGGTGGCACATATCTGAAATTGCTGCTCAATTTATAAAATTGCTAGAGATAAACTCTTATACCTTTGGGGAATGTACGCATTGGTTTAATAAGAAATTTTGGCTGTCTATTTGAACAAGCTTGAGTTGTACAATTTTCAGGAAACGCTTCTGGGTAAATGTCCAGAGATATACGTTACTTTTAACTGGATTCTTTGCTCTATGAGGAGTTCTTAGTCCTATTAGTTTTCTATACCCCCACCCCCTAAACTCTACAAAAAATAAAAGATGAAAACAGTGCGTGTTTAACTTATTTTAAATTATTATTTTACTTATTGGTTTAAAGATTTTATTTTTTAAAAAAAGACGATTATCTATTCAGTTCAACACACTCGTTTGGATCTAGTAATAGAGATGGTAATGACTTCGGTGGCCATAAAAGTTTGGGATCACGAGTAATTCACAAGATCAAACCAGTTCATTTTATATTAATTGATAAAATAATTGTTTTATAATGTAAAATGGACAATTAGAATCATTATGTAAAGCAAACAACTAATGAACTATCCTTAGTAAAATTTAAGGAAAATTATGTTCCTAACATCATCATAAGAAGTTGGAGTATTGGTCATAAGTTCTAACGGAACTAACAAGTCTTTCATTTATTTTAAGAGTATTCTTAAGTTGCGAGTTAAAAATAAGCAATCCGTTTAGCTAAAATTTTGTGGCTCCCCGTACAATGAATCACATTAATGCAACAGCTTCAATAGCACCGTGGATGATAGTCTGTTGCTGGCATGCAAGATGGACTATTGTTAGTATCCCTCATTTGGAGAACTATTTTTCCAGCATTAGACCGCACTGATAGAAGTGCTCTGGTAAAATTATAACGAAAGCAGCAACGATTAAGTGATACAAATGAAGAAAATTTATGACATGAAATTTTGGGTGAATGAAATTGTAATGAAGCTACTCATCAAAAACAGTTAGCAAATAAGGGAAACTTTGTTCCATTGAAATGCCTATGCTTCAACTTAACTGGAGCAAAACAGTGTTCTCTTACTACATTTGCATGGATAATGACATAGAAGCTCAAAGCTTCCAGTTAAAGAACAAAAAGTCAAAACTTGAAATTCAAGGTCTGTCCTGAGGAGTAAGATAACATGGTTGGTATTACTATATGTTTACAATTTGAGTTTGGTAAGGTCAATCTTTGGGCGAGCATATGTATATGCCTCGTAGTTGATTTGTTGGCCCAAGGTACTCAATTTTGTGAAAGTGGTAATCAGATCAACCTGAAAAAAGTAAAGAAACCAAAGAAATTAGAAAATAAGAAGTGTGAATTTTCGAACCAAACAAAAGCCCCCAGAAACCTTTTTGCTGCTCATGTATGAAGCTAAACATAGATAAACTTACCTCATAATCTGTCTGAGAGACTGTCTCTCGGCTTCGTTGGTATTTCTGAACCCATGGAGCAACATCAGGATCAGTGGCCAATAAGGTCTCTGTTGCAATCTGATCAGGACCTATGAATGCAGACAAAACAGCAAGCTGGCCAAACACACAAAGTAATGACTTAGTATTATCAACTTCCTTATGGAGAGCATTAAAGGATGCATGTTTTTTCTTTTCAATCTTATTTTTTACCCCCTGGTCTCCACTTTCACATTCCAAGAGACTGCTGCAGCATTGCATGAAAAAATATATGAAAAATGTAAAAACACCATTGATATATGAAGAGTTCAATAAATAAATGAAAGGTGGGAAAGAACAAAGCTTAAGCAAGAAGTTCCACCTTAAAGGGATAATTTGGACATCCGTGACACAAGACTAGATAGGGCAAGCTAAAGGTGATAAGGTTGGTTGAAGGAAACTAAAAATATTGTTAGGATTTAGACATTTGTATGACCATTGAATGGTAAAATCAATTAGTAATGGAACAAGGTTTATCTTCTCTTATCCACATGGTTGAGTTGAAACATGGAAGGCAAATATGATGCTACTTTTTATATCATATTCATCAATTCATCGTACACCAATGTAGTTTGACAGATTTCTAAAATCTGGACAAATAATGGTTTGTCTAACTAAGAACTCGCTAGAGTGAAACCTGTCATAACTTGCTTTGATGATTTCACCATTTATTTAGTTTTTAGAGATGGAATTGCTTAAATCATTTTATTAAAGCCACACACTGAAGAGGGAAACATGCTTATGTCAGGCTAATTTGAATTTGCAGCACATAAATCAAGATCACAATTTCTATCGTATATGTGCTAGTATATGCCTTTCTATATTTCTGTTATCAGAAACAGTGATGAAATATGTGAAGTACCTGGCGAGGACCAAAGCCTACAGCAGAAAATTTATCTTTCATTTCCTGTACACTTGCCTTCTCCCATATTGGAAGTCTCCCCTCTGGATCTGGGTCTTGAGCATCAGCCCTACCAAATTGCTTCTCGAACAAACCCCACTATTCCACAATAATAAATGCATGCATTACATGCTCAAGTTAGTGGAGACTTAAGTAGTAAAGAGAAGATTACTATGTATAATTGTTAATAAATCAACACATCTTTATCCCACATTTCACCTAAAGATACACAAATGATGCTAGTAAATCGGAACCCACTAATAACCCAAAACAGAATAGAAGAGAAAATTAGAAAAGCATATGATTTGTCAAATCAACATTGACCAACAGTTCCACAACCCTGCATAAAATGAAGGCAGCCAAAGCCAGCAGATGGGATACAATTTACATACATTGAAGCATTTTCATGCTTCAGAGTGCTCAATTGGCAATAAAATTAAAAGCTCCATTTGACGATTGTCACCATACAGATATTATTAAGCAAAGTATGAGTAAAAATACAAGTTCTGAAGCAAACCTGCCCATTTGATCCGTATGCATTATATAGTATATTCCCTTTCTCCTCCTTTCCACCACATTTGCGAATGGCAGCAGCTAAAAATGTAGCCTTGGCAGCACTTTGCCCTACAAATAAAATCAACAAATTCAGGGGAATTTGAACATATTTCTGCAACTTCTACCCACCATAATCACAAATGAATTTTAAATAAATGGTCTTAATTAACCGACATAAAGAATATACATGTGAAACATGTATTATGAATAACTAAATAGGTTTCAACTTGGAGATGCTAAGTATAACCTGCATACTGTATCAGATCTGCATAGGAAATGGGTCCACCTTTGGCATACGAGTCTATCTCCTTTTTTGCTTCCTCTAATAAATTTAAGGCAGCAGAAAGCCCCTTATTTTCTGGTCTACTTATTTCTGAGCTTCAGGCAGAATTGAAAATTAATAACGAGAAAAAAAATTATGATTAGTTAACTGTAAATTTCTGGTGCTTACAAGTGGAGGAAAATAAAAAAGTTTCATTATTCAAGAGCTTGCTAACAAAACCAGAAATTTATGATATACTAATAAATAAGACACCACAGCTTCTGAATTATAAAAGAAAATTATCACCTTCTAATATGAGAGAGAGAGAGAGAGAGAAGCCTTAAAAAGTAGGAATTTTGGATGCAGAAATAACAACCATCTTGGTGTATTTAGCTGACATGTTTCATAAAGAGAATTAAATAACCCACCTCTGGTTATTAGTTAACATCATTGGATGTAAAATATTAGGTTTATCGGTTTAGGGCACAAACCCATGAACGTCAAACCCAAAGGATATAGTACCTGAACCTTATAGAGCCATTTGGGCCACCTGATTTTGTTGCCTACAAACTTGAGAAAATGTCGATCAGTATTCATTTTAAATGATGGAAGACAACTATTGCATGTGCATAAGCACTTGTGTGTTTTTCTCACCTTATCATAAGTCAAAGCATCATTTAGAGCCAATGTCAATATGGATGGAATAAGATCAGGATTTCCCTGAAAAACAGTCATATATCAAATTAGATTATATCCATACTGGGAGTTCTATTTTCTGAATGACTAAACAAATGCACCTAAGGAGTTTGAAAAATGTATACTCTGCAAACAGATAACTTTTACTGTTAAATGCAACATAATATATACCTTTATGGCTGTTGAAAGTGTTCCCTTGACTTGAGCTGTAAGCACAGAAAATTAAAACTCAGCTGAGAAGAGAGATCATTTGAGTTTGACATAACTAATAGTCCCAGGAACATGTAGACCTAAAGGATCTTACATTGAAATTCAGAACGCTGTCTGCGTTGTATCAAGTCAGCAGCATTAGCCATTCCAATGAGCGATCCAGAGCTTCCTATCAATTCCTACAAACAGATTCAACTGACCGAAACTCATCATCGCATCAATCTTATCCACTAGCTACATATATTATATTTTATATATTCTAGTATGGGTCTACATCTATGAAAAACTACTGTTGCATTATATATTGGAAAGGACAATGCTATATGGAGACAAAAAGAGGGAATAAACTTGTAGCGTTGTACAACATTTTGGGTACAAATAACTTCCCAATACCTTTTTTCCACCTTAACCACTCACATTGTATTTTGTGTGTAACATTTTTATTAATTTTCCATCATTTTTAAAGTTGATCTCAGATACTTAAACTCAGAAGCCTGTGAATTTGTTATATGGCATCATCTCCAATTTTAACTTCCATATCTTTTCTTGCTAAAATTTTAGTGCATATAATGTGTCTTACTTCCAAAAGACTAAAATTCTTTTGATTCCAAAGTCTGTCTCCAAAACTTAGGTTCAGAGTTAACTTTTCCCTTGATTCCTCAATCAAAGCTAAGTCATTTGCAAAAAAACATGCATTTAAAGATAATTTTTTGGATGTCTGTTGTAAGCACATAAAAGAGTATGTTAATAAGTACTCTAAGGCTGAGCCTTGATGTAAATATATCCTTATAGGAAATTTTTTAGTTATGCCTCTAAGAGCTCTCACATTTCTTGTTATTCCGTTATACGTGTTTTATATAACTCAGATATAAGTCACATGAACATCTTTTTTTTTTCTAAAATCTTTCACAACACTTCTCTTAACACATGATCATATGTTTTTCTTTAAGTCAATAAAAATCTTTACGTCTCTTTGCTTTGATACTTTTCTATCATTTTCCTTCAAAGATATATAGTTTCAAATGTTGACCTAGGGAAGTTGGCAAAAAATCAAATTAATTCTCAACAATCCTAACTCTTCTTAGTTTATGTTACATCACATTTTCTTTTCTCATAATTTTATAGTATGACTCAACAAATTTTATCCTTTTATAACTTACCCAATTTAAAATATCACTTTTATTCTTGTATATAAGAACCAAAGAGTCCCTCCTCTGCTTATCTTACACTATTTTAGATCTTAAAATTTCATTAAATAATTTAAATATTGTACCAAAAAAGAAAGGGAGGCAGCTAGATCAGTGAGCAGGATCAATCTTTAGAAAAATATATCAATAAAGGACAGACCTTCATTTTGAATTTTGTCTGTGTACAGCCTCAAAAAGAAGGCTGGAATGTATATGCATTTTCTATAAATGGGCAGCTTCTGGATGAAGATAAAAACAAGAATTTTCTGCATATTAGAGCTTCTTAGAAGACTCCATCTTCTTATTCTCATTTATTAAATTTAGTTGAGTTTGAGTGCATTTACACTAAATGAGTGTTCAATCTTTCTTAAACTCTTGCAAAGTCAAGTGTGGGTCTTTAGTCTAGCATGTTTGCTGTAGAGTGGGTTATGGTCAAGTTAGCTATTATTGAGAGATTGTGGTATTATTTAGGAGGTTTTATTTGGGATTATTTTATATTTATGGATTTATCTTAATTGATTTTACTTTATCTTTTAGATTTGGTTAGTTTAGATTATCTTTTCAAATTTTATTTGATTTTGTTGGCTTATTTATAGACCTCCATCATAAACCTTGAACATCTTTGTTTATGTAATAATATTGATATTTCCTTTATTCAAAAAGTATTTGAAATTTGACTCAGAAGAGCTCTTGCAATAGAGGGATATTCTAGGTTTATCAAGAGAGTAACTTGCCAAGAGGACTACTTTTGGATTTGATTTCCTTCTATTCTCCATCAATGTTTGATAGGGAGATTGGTTTGAGAGTAACCGTGAGGTTCAATATGAAGAGTTGTGGCGTAAATAGTTTGGTAGTACAAGATGATTCAAAGACTACTAAGTGATTAGATAGTGGGAAAACATACATTGGATGTAGACTAGATGTAGACTCCATGTTAGAGGTCAAACCCGTATAAAAATCCCTGCATGCACTTTCTTCCATTTTTTCTTCCTAATTTTTGGTTTGGCTGGTTGTTCTTGTTTGTTGTATGTTAAAGTTTTCGTTTTTGTTTTCCAACATCAGGCATCTCATTGCAAGGTACTTGTCATCCATCCCTCTTACCTTTATCAGCCTATCAGTGACATTTTGTTCTCTGTTAAAACATCTTATACCTATACACGAGCTACCCAACTAATATCTTAAGTTTATTAGTTACTTCATTGTTAAGTGACTGAATCACTACATAAGCTAAGCTATCTTAAAGTTACCAGTATTGTACTTTCAGTTAGTTTTTTCAAAAGTTGTAATTGTATGTGACCTGATTCAACCCCTTCTCTTCTTTCACCAACACCACGAGTATGATTTTCTGTACAGGCAAAATATTTTTTATATATCATTAACCTATTAAAAAATATAGGTGTTAGAGACAAATTAAATAGGACCGTTTGCCTAACCCAGAGTTATTTTAGGTAACGTTGCTTCGATCATGAAAGCTCAACGCCATCAACCAAAGAAAAATTGGTAGACCTTAAAATACAGAAAGAAATGAAACACAGAACAAAATGCAGAAAAAAAAAGGATTCAAGACCAGAATTAACTTTGCAAGCATGACACACTTTCAAATGAATCTACCATTGTTGTGTAAGAACAAATGCTCTAGTGAATTGTAAGAACATGTATTTAATAGTTTACCATTTGCGCCATTTAGCAAACTCATGGTAGATCTTTCGAAAGTATATAAACACAGAGTAAAGAAAAAATAACACTTTGGATTTTCCAAAAGTTTGTAGTAGAATGGTTCTTACCAAACCAACGGTTGCCCCAAAGCATTTAAGAATGTCTCTACGTCTCCAGTGGAACCGGTCTTCATCACTAACATCGATTTTGATTTTATTACAACAAATGGGCACCTGAGAACACATTGAAAAAACAACGGTTATAACTAATTTATGATATGTAAGCTACAGTTGCAGTTAAAATGATTTTTTTTTCTGTCATATGAATGCAAAATTCCAACCCATTTCTCATTATTCATGAAAAATGCAACACAACAGCAACAGTGAACTTAGGAAACCAAGAATTGGAACTACATTATAAATTGAAGACATGTAGAGCAAAATGCAAACTTACTGAACGAGGTTGGTGTCTGGTGGTGAGTGGAGGATCATGAGGAACAAGTGAAAGCAGAGAAGGGCAAGTTGAGAGGAAGGAGACACCCATTGCTGCAACTCAACTATCTTTTTCGGTGTCTCTGGAGAGAGAGAGAGTGAGTTAGTGAGATGCAAAAGCAGCAAATGGAAGGTTCAAGTTATGTGTACACACTACAATATCACGGATGATATGCATTATCCTGAGAAATCTGTAACCATTGGATTGTCTTATTTCTGACCCAATCCGCACAAATCTTGGACCCGTTGGAAGTTACAACCCACCCAACTATGTTACTGTTCACCAAACTTCGTCCTTATTTATTTTACGGTTTGAAAATTAATTTTGGAATTTTAAATAAAAACATAAATTAAAATATAAATATATGTTTTAAATTGATTTTAATATATTTTTAAATTATATCTAATAGTTTAAAATTAATTATTCTTGACTTTAAATTAAACACTCGTTATATTTTTATTTTATTTCATTTATTTGTACATCATATGGACTTCTTTTTTAATATTGTATTTTCATAAAAATAAACATAATTAGTTTGTTGAAATATTTTCTTATTATCTAAAAAACATAAAATAGCATAATAAAAATGATGAGCAAATATTAATAAGCTGTTGAAATAAATCATTTTTTTAGTCATATCTATGTTTTTAATCTACGAGATTCCTCAGCTTTTATCATAAAAGCTTGTGTTGAATTTTATATTACTTGTCGCTGAATATAGTTATTTAAATCTTTTCCTTTTCAGAATAAACGGTTAAAAATATTCAAATTATAATGACTTTTTGTTCACTATGTTAAGTTACAATACTGAAACAATTTATAAAAATTAAAAAAAAAATTGGAAGTTTGAAACCATTTATTTTCAAGATTTCCTTCAGGCCGGATCATGATGCATCATCATGATTCCTGATGCAGTAGTGTTCCAAAAAATTAAGTCCTAAAATTAAAGTTTCAATCTACATGTCTCCAAAGTACAAAGTTCAACCACACTTTCACTTCCCTCCCCTTGAAATAAATAAAGCAAGAAGTAAAAATAAAAGATTTTGCATTTCGTTATCTTCAATAACAAAATGTGTTACAATGTAGAATTTCAAGAAATACAATAACGGGTGATTGAGATGCCTGGCTATCTCTGAAAGCTCTGCTTCTCTTTTTATCAATAAATAATGGTCACAAAAGAATGAATCCAGTCATCTCAAATCTCCATTCCTACCCGAGACCCAAGAACTACTCATCCCATTCTATATAACTTCTTATATCAAAACCCAACTATGGGTTTTCTTTTCCTTCCTTTTTCATTTTCTTTATTTTTTGTTCCCAAATTAAAGGGTACGTGTAACAGTGATACCGGTATATACACTCTGCCACCAGTGTACCCACACCTTCCAGTTGCGCATCAGATTTTATGCTCAAACTTTGGTAAATGGCTACATATATGTGCCACCCTTTTACCAAAGGATATTTTGCAAGGAGAAAGTTGTGCAGCATTTGATCTATTTAACAATGTAAGATATGTTCAGAGGTGGCGGTTCTGTCCGGCATAAACAATTAGGTAAGGGATTAGCATAAAAGGCTTCTTCTGATCGAAACCTTTCCATGTGCTTTGTCCCAGAAATTGGCCCTTTTCTCTTCCTGGGGGAGCCAAGTCTGTGCAACACATTTAAAAAATGAATAATGAAATAAACGTTCACCCTGTGATCAGTGTAATATAAAGATAACAATTTTATTAACTTTGACTTGAGTTTAAACAACTAATAATACTAAGATTTTATTAGAAAAGAAAGTACTAATTACGTTGGATATATAAAAATATAATAAATGCTTTCTTTTCTGATAAAAATTACTATTATTTGTTACTTAAACTCAGCACTAAGGATTATAGTCAACAAAACCATAAAAATAATTAAACTAGAAATAGATTCTGTTAGATAACCCCCCTTGATAGTTAAAATAAGTTTACCCATTAGTTGGATACATTAGTGAGTGAGTTAGTTAGGTGAGTTAGTTTGAAATTGAATAAGGCATGTTGCCTAGAATTAAGAGGGGTGATTAGAGAGGAATATCATATGACTTGTGAGAGGAAATTAGGGTCTTTTGGCATTGGGAGGTGCAGATCCTTGAAGTTCGGCAGTCTGTATTCTGTTCTGTGAATTATAGAGTTCTTTCCCCATTTTTTTCTAATAAAGATGCCAAGTTTCTATCAGATTCTTCAATAGGTTAAATCAGGAAGATAATACCAAAGCTACTTCACAAACATGATAATTCCTCAGAGGGACAAAAAACTTGATAACATCCTATTTCAAACTTATAATCCTTCATATCATTCTTGCACACCTGTTTTCTGTGGTGCTTCAATAATACTCTATCTATCAAGGTTGAGATCTAGTTTTCAAAAATAAATATAGCTTAGGCAGTGAGGCTAGTTGGGTATAGTTCATACAAAGAACGTCAAATTACCTGTTTTACTGGTCTATTGAGAGGACGTGTGCCAGTAATAGCTATAATAATCATGGCATGTAGAAGTAGAAATATGATTATGATAAGATACAATCATGTAAAGAGAGATGTAGAACAATAATTATAAAAAGAGAGAGAACCATAAAACTTAACATCCATAAAATTACTTAAAACATACAATAAGGCTTTTCCAATCACGTACCGTCTTCTGTGGAGATCAATAATCCTATTTGATAGTTTCTTCCCTTCAGTCATTATTCCCTGATCCAGTTTATCAAACAGACGAACAAGGGCTTTCCTAATTAAAATGAGAGGACAAAGAGAACAGCTTTGTAATGGATGATTAGAAAACCGTTTATCAGACAACTTTTAAAGATAAACAAATAGAAGTTGATCTTCCACTTAAAGAAAATGACAGCCTTACTTGTCTGGAGATATTGTTCTTCCACGTCTAAGAAAACGGCGATGACCCTCAACAGCCTTTGCCATGTTTCCGGAATAAGAAGGTATAAATACATCACTTTCAATAGATACAATATAGTCAAGAGCAGCCATTTGGGATGCATGATTAAAAAAGGGTTCAAGCTCTTCTATGGAGGCCAACTTTTCCTGAAAATAGCCACAGCTAGGTTAATCACACGATACCAATGCTTCTCAGCAGGCTGCCATTACCCAGAAAAGCAGGAGTCAACCTTTAAACAGGCTAGTTAAACACAAAAATACACATTATCGTCCTCTTTAGAAGAGCAAAAGAAAGTCTTTTAATCATCAATAATGGAGCAATCATTTTTCAGTAGTTTCTGCAATAACAGAAAAGCTATGATAATTTGTCCTTTATAATCCAGCTCAACCCCTGGTGTTTTTAGCATTGTATTATGGGCTGTAGAGTGTAGACTACTCTAGAAATTGTTTGCTCATCAACACCAGAAAATTGAGTCTTCTAGCCACAAGGTCACTCAATGCCTAACATTCATAGAACTTTCTCCCCCTAGAAAATAGAAATCTCTGACTGAAATCATGACAGTACCTATGTAATTTAACTGAAACATGAGCTTAACCAAAGTACCAAACACAAAATGTCACTAACCATGCTGTATCCCACTTATGATGCAAAGCTCCCTAGTCCCCAACTCCCCATGCATTTAAACATAGTAGTCAATAGCGGAAATAGCGGCCGCAATCGCGGCGGAGCAGCCCTTTCCCGCGACGGCGACGCTGTCGGGTTTCACAGTAGCGGCTGTCGTGCCGCGAATAGCGGCGGAAAACACCAAAAATAGCGGCTGGAGCGGCCGCTCTCTCATTCTCGCGCGTTTCCCCTTTTTGCCCCTCATCTTTTACCGTTAGGGCCCTTTAAGGGGGGCCAATTTTGGAATTTCGACCCCTCCTTATATTTCTGAATCATCTTCAACCCTAGCCTCCATCCATCTGCTCTCCTCTCTTCTCCCGTCGGTTCTCTCTCCTCTGTTCTTTGTTTTCTGGTGATCCTCTGTTCGCTGTGTTCCGTTTTTCCGGCGAGACTTCCACTTGATTTTCCAGTCATCTTCTTCGTCTCCGGCAAGCTTCTAAGGTGACCCAAACTATTTTGAGTCATTTTCTTCATCTCTTCTCATCTTCTTCAAGGTCAGCACAACTTTCCGGTCATCTTCTCCAACTCCGGCAGACTTCCGGCGAACTTTCCGGTACTGAACATTTTTTTTCCTATATTTTTCTCTGTTTTTTTTTTCTCTTCTCTGTTTTGATTCTTCTATTATTTTCTGTTCGAAATTTCAAAGCTTAAAGAAGTAATGGCTACTCCTCCCAATCTGTCACAAGGAACCGGCTTTGTTTCAATTTCATCCTGTGCATTAGTGAAGCCTTCAAGAAATAATTTGGATATAGGTTAGCAATGGAATAGTTTGAAAGACATAAATAATAAAAAGTCTGTTACTTGTGACTTTTGTGGAAAAACGACTACAGGCGGTATTACCCGAGCAAAGAGGCACCAAATGGGAGTGAAGGGAGATGTTGATAAGTGTCCAAGGATTCCCAAAGAAATAAAAGAAACACTAATAGCAGCTCATGAAAAGAAGAGAATTGAAAAAGAGGTATATTTACTTCAGCATGATGAAGATGATGATGATGAAGAAGAGGTGCAAGAAATTCAAAATATTCGTAATGGAAAACGACCTGCAACCTCAAGTGTTGCATCAGTTTATGTTAGTAGTTGTAATGCGACGAAAAAGGAAAAAATGTCAAGGGCCCATTGGATTTATTGTGGTTAAAGAGTCCAAAAACAAGCGTCAAATTAGCAAAATCAAAAAGACAAACAAGTATAAATGATGCTTGTGTCAAAGAGGCAAGAGCAAGAACAGTTCAATACATAGAGCGATTCCTTTGTAGGAATGGAATTGCTTTCAACGTTGTGCGTTCAAAAAGTTTCAAATTAATGGTTGAAGCTATTGGAAACTATGGTCCACATCTAAAGCCTCCTAGTTATCATGAGTGTAAAGTTCCTCTTCTTAAAAAAGAGTTAGAGTATACAAAGGAAATGTTGAAAAGTCGTGAAGAAGAAAGAGAAAAATGTGGATGTTCAATTATGTCAGATGCGTGGACGGATAAAAAAAATAGAACATTGATCAATTTCTTAGTAAATTGTCCAACTGGTTCTATGTTTGTAAAGAGCATTGATGCATCTGCTTATATGAAAACTGGAGAAAAGTTGTTTGAACTCTTGGATAGCTTTGTTGAAGAGATTGGAGAGAAAAATGTTGTGCAAGTAGTTACTGATAATGGAAGTAATTATGTATTAGCCGGTAAGAATTATTCTTAACTCCCTATATTAATTTCAGTTACTAATTATTTTATTAGTTTCTAATTTTAGACTATGTAATGTAATTTTAGGTAAGTTGTTGCAAGCTAAAAGACTACATTTGTTTTGGACTCCATGCGCTGCACACTGTATTGACTTGATATTAGAAGACATTGGAAAAATACCTAAGTCAATAGAACAATCCAAAGGGGAGTTACTCTTGTGGGTTTTATTTATAATCAATTCATTGACTTTGAATATTATGAGGAAGTTCACCAATAAAGCTGAATTGGTTAGATATGGAGTGACAAGGTTTGCCACAACATTCCTCACATTACAAAGGTTGCATAATCAAAAAAACAACCTTAGAAAAATGTTCACTTCCGATGAGTGGTTAAAGTCCAAAACAGCCAAAGAAGCTAAAGGAAAAAGGACAACAGACACTGTACTTATGCCTTCTTTTTTGAATGATGTGGTTTTCTGTCTTAAGGCAATGGGGCCACTTGTGCAAGTTTTGAGACTTGTTGATAATGAAAGAAAGCCTGCAATGGGTTATATATATGAGGCAATTGATAGAGCTAAAGAAAGCATTCAAAATGCATTCAAAGGAAATGTAGACAAATATAAGGAGTTTTTGCTATAATTGATAGAAGATGGGAGTGTCAACTTCATCATCCATTACATGTTGCAGGTTATTATCTGAATCCTCAATTTTTTTATAGCAATAAACAAATTGAGAATGATCCTGAAGTTGTGGAAGGCTTATATAAATGTATTGAGAGGCTATGTACAAGTGAAGATGATGTAGACAATGCTACAGTTCAATTGTCAACATATAGAAGAGCTGAAGGTCTCTTTGGTTTAAGTGGAGCAAAAAGACAAAGGGCTACAATGGCTCCTGGTAAGAGATTTGTTTAATTTTTTTATTGTAATGTAATTATGTAGATATAACACAAAAGGTTAATAAGTTGATGCATAACTTGCAGCTGAATGGTGGAAGAATTATGGAGTACGTACACCACATTTACAAAACATTGCTATTAGAGTGTTGAGTTTGACTTGTAATTCATCTGGATGTGAACGAAATTGGAGTACTTTTGAGTACGTAAGTAAATATCTGAATCCTCAATTTAAAGTTCTTATATGAAAAGTGAAAATCTAATATTTTTTTTTTATGGTAAAATAGATTCATTCTAAAAAGAGAAGCAGACTTGAGCATTAGAGGTTACAAGACTTGGTTTTTATTAAATATAACCAAGCTCTTAATGAACGTTTTGAGTGTTCTGACGTGGTGGATCCTATTATCTTAAAGGATGTTGATGATAGTAATAATTGGTTGCTAGAAGGAATAGCTGGAGATGATGAAGATGCTGTAGATGAATTAGTGTTTGATGATGATAACTTGACTTGGGGAGCTGTTGCTAATGCAATTGGGGCTAGTGAGCCTATAACCTACACTAGGCGACAAGCTAAATCAAAATCCAAGACAACTACAATTGCTTCTTCATCTAAATCTAACGGAAAAGGGAAAGAAATTGTACAAGAAGAAGAATGTGATGACGGAGACTCTGAAGAAGAGGATGAGGAGGAGGAGGAGGAGGTTCTTTACAAAAGTAGTGATGAAAGTGAAAATGAAGAAGACATGACAAATCTTAGAGATGAATATGATGATAATTATTAAAATATTTGTATTTGAATTAAACACTTAGTATTTTTAAACATCTAAGCATTAGAGACTTAAATTTAGTTAGTTAAATTTATTTTTATATTTTGTTGTTACTTGTTATTGACATCTAAGCATATATATATGTGTGTAATTTAATTTATGAGTATATTTATAATACCTAAAATAGCGGCCATCCCGCTATCCGCTATGCCACTATAGCGTTTTTGAGGTCGGCCGCTCCGAGTCGCTATCCGGGATTGACTACTATGCATTTAAACAATATATGGGAAGGGGTAATCTCCTTATTTTAGGATTTTCATGTCAAAACATCTTAACCTTTTGACACTGCTTTCTTTTCAACTAAACAAAGGTCCAAAGGATTAGGAGAACATGACATTGTACAACCTTCCCTGCAAAACCTCAATTTATTACTCAACATATTATCAACTTATGTTTCAAGTTGATCTTGAGAAGATAGAGAAAATACTAATGCTATACCAAACTTCTTTTACTAAAAGAAATTGAAAAAAGGCTATATCAAATTTGAACAACATATGGAATCACAGTATTGCAGTATCTTACCTTGCTCATCAACAATGGATAACGGGAACAAAGTTCAGCCATATGGGACTCACCCCCATATATGTCTCCAGCAGCTATGTATATTGGAGTCTTTGACGGGTATCCAAGAGCAGTAAGAAAAATCCCAACTTCCTTTGGAGTTAAGGGGCAAAGCCCTTTGGACCTCTGTTCTATGGGATCAATGTCCTTTATTTTCCAATAGGAAGTGTTCTCTCTACATGTTTTGCACACAATAATTTCCAAACATCATGTCTGAGAAAACTGATATTTAATTAATCATTTTGAAGTGTCACAGTTCCATACCTGATCATCCTCAGCTCTTCAGCTTCATCAGGAGATAAATCATGTGTGCACCCACTAAATGCAAGCATATCCTTCTCATAGCGTAAATGCAACGCAATATAAGGACCAAATGACCTCATCCTCTCCACCAACAACTACAAAGAACCAGAAAATATTAAAGAATGAAAAATTAAAAACAATCCTGGAGTCCTGACTTGAATAGGAGTTAAAAACAAACAAACCAATAAGAGTTAAGATCTCTTTATATATACTTTTCCCATTTGTTCAATGTGAGGAGAGAAGCGAAGAGCTTCATAACAAGCTCGGCAGCGAAGCTTTTGAATGTCCGGAGGTAGATTGTTGTTCGCTAATCGTGAATCAGATTTTGAAGCTTGAATTACCTTAAGATGTTATAAATAATTAGATGATTGCACAACATATCAAAAAATACAGCAAATAAAAAAAGAAACATAGAACTGTATATAACAATAGATTTTACAACAATCATACTTGGTAATCTTCCCACAAGCTAGCAATCTCATTCTCATAGTAATCCATGCCTGACCAGCTTATGAATTGCTTGACCACTCTGGTTGCATTAACCACCTTGTTCGGAAGCTTCTTAATGATTTTTACATCATTAGCTAGAGAATTCATAAAATGTTCCTCATCAAAAATATCAGAAAAATTGCTGAAAAGAAAATTATAAAATCCAATTAAGTGAAATCCAATACAGAGAGAGAAGGTATAAAAGACAAATAATAGTAAAAATAAAAATTGAAAAATACCTAGTATCTTGCCAAAATGATCTTTTATCAAGTTCTGGAATGACAAGAGTAGCATTTATGATACGAGCTACAGCTACCATGTCACATATCTGCAGCAAAGGGAACAAATTTTCAGCTATTTACAACAATGGAATTGGATAGTGTTAGTTCCTTACTGGTGTCCCAGAACAAATTTGGTTGAGAGTAATTTAGAGTGTACAAGAAAAATAGAGGGAGAGGAGGGGGAGGAGGGAGGTCAGACCCCAGAGCGCATTTGGTTGAGCCCGCCATTTGTATGAACTAAAAGATATCCTCGTGACTCAGCAGGACCTGAATAAACATGTATTACTTTAAGTACCAAAATAAATAATCCATAATTGCAACTTAATAGGAAAGTGCAAGTCCCTTACTGGTGTAATTAGGTGTAGCCTTTGTACAGGTCAGAAACCCACGATTTGATGGAGGCTTCCACAACTTCTCGTAATCTGAATACCCTTTTCTGGATCCATTCAACTGTCAATTTGAAAGGAGTGAAAACATGAAAGGCACATAACTGCTTTGCATAATTTCAATATATCTACCTATATATATGACACCCCAACATCTCTGGCCATGTGCTTTCATTAAATCAAACAAGTTCAAAGTCATGTAATTACACATTGGATGAAATTGACGAACATTAGAAATGAGCAGGACCAACAGAAACAAAACAATAACAGTACAGAAAAAAATCCCCACCTGGTTGATAGGGATCAGAGTGGAAATAAATTAATGAAAAAAGAAAGGTACACGTTTGCAGTTAGGCTGATTTTCTAATAATAATAACTTAATAAGCTCTTTGATAAGTATAAAGTTATTTTCTAAGAGTCCAAACAGATCATATCACCGAATATCAGTTACTTGAAAATGTTCACGTAAAGCACAAAACCTTGGGAGTTGGAAGAGGAGCTTTGGATAAATGAGGCGGAGCAAGCTCTCGCGTCCAGCTTTGCAGATCCTGAGGCTGTCAAAATTTGAAATACAAATCACCAAAAATGAAAAAGGGAATTTTTAGTCACTGCGATATCAATAGATAATATCAAAAACAAAATTTCCCAAAAAAATTCCCAATACACAAAAAAATATACCAAAGAAAAGCATAACCCAAAGTGTTGTTTATAAATTGGTAACCATTAATAGAAGTCTTCCACAAGTCAACAAAATACTGAAAATAAGAATGACAAATGAAAAACCCTAAAATAAGGTTAAACAATACCACAAAATTGATAGCAGTTCGTTGTGCATAATAATAATAATAACTGACGGAGAGGATCAAGGAACTCCCCAGAATAAATCAAAGAACCCTAAACAAAAATAAAAAAAAAAATATTTTTAAATTCAACAAGGGAAATAAATAACAGGAAAAGAGAAACCAACAAAGAGAGAGAGAGAGAGAGAGAGAGAGAACCTTGGGGAACTTGTCGTTGAACCGGCGATCCTTAGAGGAAGGGACAATGTGAACATGAACAGAGAAGAGAGCCACGAACGTTATTAAGCATATTGCTGCAGTGAGCCACTTTCTCAGCAATACCAACGGAATCCACTTGCGTCTCTGCATTCCACTCCCTCCCTCTCTCCCTCTCTCAGCTTGTGGATCACTAATTTCACGCCTTTATTTAAATAAATAAATAAATAAAAACTCCAACAGACTCAATTAGGAAGAGAAAAGAAGAAAACATGAAATTGTGTTGCTAGGTGCAGCACTACACTAACGTTAATCTCTGCGAATGAACACTTGTCGGAAGTGTGAGTGACAGAGTGTAGATGAATTGAACTTGAAGATCATGAAAAGGAAAGCGGATAGCTGCTTTTGGTTTTGGCTTTTCTTAATGTAGTGCAGAGTGCGAGTATGCCCCTTTGTCGTGGTCAGTTTTTTAAGGTAAGTTGTGTCTAATACAAGACACAGTACTTGGCTTGTGACGGAGCAGTTTAACGTGATTTTGGTACTATTTTGTAATTAAAATTGTAATTTTATTTCACTTCTGTAATAAAGACGGACACTAAGAACTAATTAATGTAACGAAACTTCACTTTAATTAAAGAATAATATTTAAAATATTGTACTTAAGTTTCTCATTTATTATTGATTATTATTTCAATATTTAAAATATTTTAAAACTAAATTTTATCATATTCTTTAAGAAAACTTTAGTTGATTTACTCCGATTATAATTTTTATATATATTCCATTTTATTAATTTAACATTTAATTTAAAAATTTTCAATAGGTATATTAAGTTTATAAATTTTTAAATATATTTAATACTTTATCAAACAATTGTATTTTAATAAATAATAAATTTTTAAAATATAAATAAAATATAGAGTATAGAATTACGTGTATATAAATGTTTAATTTTTTTAAAAAAATTGAAATACATAATTATGAAAATAATATTATATAAATTAAAACTTTAATCAATTAAATTTAATATCCGAAAAAGTTATTAAGTAGCCAAAAATTTTATTAGAGCAAGTAAATCCCTTCTCAAATTTTATCTTTTTTTTTTAGTGTAAAATCACAATAAAAAATAGATAAAAAAGATTAAAATAAATTTTTAAAATAAGAACAAATGAAAGATTTTAAAATTTTAGAAAGTGGAATGCTAAGACATACAATGTTGAGACTTGACTTAAGATTTTATTTATTTATCACATCATTTTCAGTTTTTCAAAAAATTAATTTTATAATGAATTGTATTTTTTTTAAAATTAAGTGAACAACAAAATTTTAAAAAAATTAATATGAAAATAATTTATATTGTCCATATAAAAAAATATTAAGAAAAACACTCTTTTTTTTTATATTAAAGTCAAGTTCATGTATATTTAGATAAATATTAAATATCATAGAATTGCATTTAATTTGACTTTTTCTGTGTAAATTCAAATTTACGTGTTTAAGTATATATTAGTGTAAGTTGTATTTATTATTTATTTGTATTTTTTAAAATAATAATTTAGTAAATTGTTGGCATATATTAATTAGGAATTTTTTATATAATAAAATAAAAAATACAAAACTTTGAATATGTTTTTTTTTATATATATAATTTTAAAATATGTTCACTTTTTCTGACAAAATGTTCAAGTTAGTATGAGGAATGTATTTATCTTGAAACATATTATAAATTGCTTAAGGGTAGTTGATTTATAGCAACATGGTCATTTATCTATAAATATAAGTCACTTTAAAGTAGTGTGATTTATAACATTAGACGTGTTCAAGTTTTTTACTCTTTTTTATTTAAATTTTTAAAAATAATACCAACGAAACTCTAATTTATATAAATTATATGTTTATTTCACATGATTTTTTGAAATCTTTTAAACTAAATTTATTTAGAATTAAAAATATATCTCTAAGGATAATGCAACATTCACACTATTATAGACCAGATAATTTACAATCTTTTGACATCAGTTAATTTTTCAATAATAAAAAAATACATCAATGAAATCTTAATTAGAATCAAAACATCACCTTTAATATCCTATTATTATGCAATCAAGCAATAGAAAAGAATCAGACAAAATACACTTATTTTTTACAAAAATTATAACACAAAAACACTAAGAAATATAAGAAAATAGAAAAGATAAGCAAAACATTGAAATTTTGAGAAAAAAAATTTGGTCCAAACCCCTTAGGATGTTTAGTTGAATAGATCTTTAAAAAATGTATTAAATAGTTATATAATTTGTGTAAATCAAAATTTTGTATAAAAAGTTATGTCTTTTCAAAGTTTAAGACAAAGAAGGCAAGAAATTTAAGCATGCCCCATGCTAACCTAAGCATACATGTGCTAACATAAATTATGATATATATTTTGTTTAGTGATTAGCACATTTGTGTTCATTACAAACACATTTGTGCTAGTTCACAAGTTGCTTAAAATATTTGAGCACTGAGTGTGCTCATTACAAGAATGTCTCACACTTATGCATAAGTTGCTTAAAGCATTATCATAACAAGATGTTTTAAAGAAAATGATATTATCTACTATAAAACAAATGAGTGATCTTTAGAACATTTTTGGTAATTTTGTTGTATAAAAAAAAGAAAAACTTTAACATGCATGATAAATAAGATGATAAAGAGTCACCTTATTAAAGGCCACAAAATGAGATAAATTCTTCACAAAGACTCCTATTAAGTAAAACAAAGAAGGAAATTACTACTCATTATGAAACGAGTGACACCTAATGCTCAAAAAGTCCTTAGGATACTTTTAGAAAATGGACAAAATAAATAAGTAAGGTGATATAGGGTCATCCCTTTGTTGTTTATACTCATTAGTGTCTTTTGGCCTTTTCACCTTAGGAATAAAGCATATAAATGTTTTATTAATGAAACTTATACTTCTCCCATTGTTATGTATGTTCAACACTATAGAAGATACTTTATTGCCAACAATATCCTAAAACTTTTGATAGAAGAATGTGGATATGCCATATGGGCCTTGTGGGTGTATTTGTTTGATGACGAAATAATTTTTTTCCCTTGTGAATTGTGTATTCAACATCACCTTGTAACATCCTTACTAAAATTATAATAATTTTTCTTAATATTATATAATATCTTGAAATAAACTTGATAAAATTTGTAAATGTTTTGAATAGCTTCAGAAAATTTTCACAAATATGTGAATATAAACTAATAAAGGTCAATAAATTTTAAAATTTGGTCAAGGTAAAAGTCTCATTCATAATGAAATAAAATGTATTTATTTTACTTAACTTGAATTTATAATATAAACAATACTATTTTATGATACATTAGGTTTTCATCTAAGACTGAGTATAAATTAAAATCTAAATTGATTAACTACTAAATATTTGACATACACCTTAATCAACGCTTATAATAGGGTTTATCAACAAATATAAATTCTAAATAAAAACTTAATTAATACTATTACATTTCTCTAAATAAATAAATTTTGACAGAGTAAGTCTTTTCCCACAATTTTTTGCAAGTATGATTCTAGATCAGATTTGTCTTTATTAAAATCTTCCTTTATCTGAAAATGTTTGTAAGGGTGAGCTTCCCTCGCCCATTAATTTTTCATTTTAATAATATATTCTCAGTAACACAGAAAATATTTTCTAGTACATTAAACATCAACTTTTAAAAAAATTATTTATAAAATAATTTTAATTAGCAGGGAGCATTCACATACATCATTCATCACTCAATCAAATAAAAATCTATTTTTTCTTTAGTCAGCATAATCAATTTCTCCCTTTATCCACTCAATCATTCAATTTCTCAACCCATGCCACTTCAATCATTTGATTTTGAAATATTCATTAAACAAGAGCACTCTAGGTGCTCATGAACGTTGCCAACATACTCTTTCTAGTTATGATGGACTTATGCCAGCATATATAGTTGTCATTCGCTGCCGTACACGGATATGACGTGTGCTTTATTAAGAATTCATAACAAAGGTATAGTCAGGAGAGCATGAGGCCTATAAATGTTGTCACTGTCAATCGTGTACGCTTAAGTTATTAGCATTCATCACCCTTATTTCTCCCATATATCCCAAATCACCTCTGGATTTTATATTCCTAGTGTATCCTTGAATTATCTATGCAGTAACTCAGACGTGGCACATCACAATCATATTGTTCCAATACACATGTTACAATTACACTAATCAATGCATTATAACATATGTGTTATATAATCTCACCCATTAATGTATTACAACATATACACTATAATTGCATCAATCAGTGTCCTTGTGACACACATATCAGTTACTTCCTTTTTCTCTTTTCTTATACTTTCTTAGCATTTTTACACATCACACTTTTCATCAATCTCCACAAATAACACATTTTCTCTCAATTTCTTTTACTTTACACTTTTTCAGCAATTCTTAAATATTCACATAGATCTCATTAATAACTTTTACTATCCATCAAGTTTCTTTCATCTCTTTTACCTTATTCATTTCATTAAATCATATCCAAAGTACATGCATTCCTACTTCATCTAATTCACATATATGTAACATAATATCTTTTATCATTTAAAGAAGCCAATTCATTTATATCAATTTCACCCAACACTCAACTTCTCAATCAAACATATAATGATAAAGCAAGAAAGCACATCATCATAAAACCAATACAATATGTCGAAGGTTAGACACCTCTGGACTCAAACTAGTTGCGCATTTCATAAGTATTTTGCCAGAGATTACACTTTTCCAGTCTTAAAAAAAAACTTTCTAACCTGAGGTTTAATCTTTTCCTAGCAAAATTATTATTATTAATACAATTTCACACCCTAAAACTGTTCATTTCCTTTTATATTATTCTTTCAGGAAAACACTTTAGATTTACCTTTTAAAATAGATATTTCAAGTTTCTCAAGCTAAATATACAATTAAATCTTAAGGTTTAAGGTCAACTCCCCTTACATGAAAATAGATCCCTGAGGCCAAGTTCTTCGTGAGCTCTAGAGAGAAGCTCCATGTTTGGACCAGAAATACTACCTAAAGACTAAAGTTCTTCCTAACATTATAGAGTAGAGTACTATTATGAAAGAGAGAATAGATAAATAAGAATAAGATTCAAGAGTTAAGCTCCGGAAACTTACTTAGAGTAGATGTGTTTGTCATTTTTGCTTTGCTGTCTGTCATTCTAGTTACAGCAAGAACTCTTCGCTATAGCAAGAATACTGATGAGTCATCCTTATCCACTTCTTGCTATAGCGAGGATTTCTCGTTACAGCGAGAAAGCTCAAAACAGCCTGATTCTAGATGTTCTTTCTTGCTATAGTGAGATATCCTGCAATTTACATTAAGCAAACTCTCCTAATTTCAAACAACA